GGCCTTCCTCAGGCGTGCGCCCTGAGCCCGCCCTGCTACGCCCTCCCCCGCTGCCGCCTCAGAAGGTGCGGGGGGCGCGGTAGGCTGGGCTGTCGGGGCAGGTGGAGGGCCGCCATTTCATGGGCGCTAGGTCGGGCAGGAGCTGGAAGGAAATAAAAACCTCAGACCCGCTGTTCTTTGGAAGCGCGCCAAAATGACCACATCCCTTTGGCCTCTGTTTACAAGTGAAGAGATGCCTGAGCCGGTGCCCCCCCGTGGGGCTCGGGCTCGGGCTTGTCCAGCACAGGTGCCTTTTGTTCACCTGAGGTGTTTTCCTGCTATGAGTCCCTCTCCAACAATGGCCCGGGACAGTGAAGGGTGATACAAACATGGATGCTTTTCCTGCCCTGGGTTTCTTAAAGTAAAGATGGATTAAATTGAAATAGAAATTATCTGATTTCTGGGCATGCATGTTAGTCACAGACTTGGTCTACATAGAACCAAAGCAGGGCACTGACACGCCTGTTGGTGGGAAGCTCAGTGTCTGCAGTGCCAGTGACTACACTAATAATTCACTGCATGCATTTATTGAGTGGTGAAAGATGTGTTTCTGTTCTGTATCCCTATGCTTTCCTATGCTGTCATTTAAGTAGTAAAATGAAGTTCACAAGAATCCAGCACCTAGGCAGACTTGGAGGTAGATAATGGGCCATGTTGTTCCTTGCTTCAGTGTAGCGGAAGCAAGGAGGGGGGAGCGGCATGTGCAGCATGCACGCAGAACTTCAAACATCAGTTTTGATTAACCCAAAATGTTTCGCCTTGGATTACTTCATCCCCTGAAAGTGTGCGAGGACTCAAATTATTTATATTTTAAAAGTCAAATGTGAGAAGCTGCAAACATGGATGGCACAGATCAGAAGAACTACAAAGTACAAAAAGGGCAAAAAGTCTATTTTTAATGGGTCAAGAAACCTCGAAGGAGCAAGGAGAGAGGAGAGCCTTTGTTTCTGTTGTTGGGGAAGGACTCTAACAGGTCTTTTTGTCCGTCTTAAAAATTCAAGTGATGGCTACCCATCTGTAGATTACTGAAGCATGAGTGGGAATATGACATTGTGAGCACTAAGGGTAAAATCCAGGCATCTGAAGGGAGTTCTTTGGGAAGACTACTTGAATCTCTTCAATGGTAACATGATTGTACTTAACTGATACACACAAAAAAAGGAGAAAAAAATAAAAGAGAAGATTACCTTATCAAAGAATTAAACTCCCTCTGCTTTTTCACTAGAGAACGGAGAACGCTCCTACATAGTTTCTCTGATCCTTGAATGAATTCTTGAGGAAAGTCAAGGGACACAAGATCAAATCTAAGAAATATCTGATCTAAAGAAAGGGAAACCTTTGAGACTTTATACAGACATCATGATGGTGCCAAAAAGTCACAAGCTCATTAGTTTATCTTACTTTAGGTTATTCCTCAGTTTTCATATTAAAGTAACGTGGAAATGTTCTATCTTTCTGATCACACATTCTGATACTTGGAAATAATCAAATTCAAAGTGAACAACTAACTAACTAGTTCAGAAAAAATGTCAAGTATGTCACTTGTTATATACTATTTCATAGCCAAGTAGTCAGTCACAAACTTATTTTTTCCATTCCACTGAGAATTGTAGCAACATTTAATATTTTTAGCAAAACTATTAGAAACAAAAATTGCTTATGATTTTTCATTTCAGTTCAGACGTTGCTGGAGTACAAGAGGATCCTCGGAAGGTCCCTGCCCTCTCTACTCCTTCTGACTTTCCTGGTGTCCTACATTCGCATCTGCCTTCCGGGCAGGTCACTAGCCTTCATTCTACTAACTGAGCTCCATGTTGGGCCATATAATAAACCTGACCTGTGAAACAATCCAGGGTAAAAGCACTCATACACGAACCTCTTTTTTGGTATCGCTGGAGGAGGGTTGTCTTCAGCAAGATAAATTCTTGGCTTCAGTTTAGAACGCTAGTTCACGAACAGTTGAAGCAGCACTATTGACAGGGTGGTAATTGACATTGTGAGTGGAGGCTGAAGCAAGCAGCAGAGACAGAATCTTTAAAAACAGATTCTGTCATAAAAGAATTTGTAGCAAAGAACACTGGCCTTACTTTCACTTGATTCAATGTAGATATGTCCATACAAAATTTTTATCAATTTAACTAAATTTTTAAAAAACAAATTTTAACTGTGATTTAGCTTGTGTATAGAGGAGCCAAGTTCTGCATTAAAAGACTCCTGATCTCTCTGAAATAGTTTGGCTAGGCTTTCTTCCTCTTCTGAAAACCATTATATCCAAATGCTTACTATTGCCATCATTAAGATATCTCATTATAAAACAACATTAGATAATGGAGTCGGCTCCTTCCTTTCCTCAACTTATGCTGGCTTCATAAAATTATTTTATTAGTCACCTAATAATCATCCCCAAAGAGAAAACTATTATAAAAGAACAGGCGTACTTTGTTTTGATGACAGAATCCTTTATAACTAGTGCTGGGGTATGGATTATGTATATTCTTTCTCCTTTATCACTAAATCATATGACCACATGAAGTGTGATTTTATTTCTGCAAAAATTCATGCTATTTTACAGTGCAGTAACCTGCACATTGCATTCACCTTAGCAGTATCAGATGATGAATAATAAAGCTTCACAGCAAACTTCTCAAAATTGTATAATAGTCATCAGAGTGAAGTGTATAACCTCACATAAATCTCCATCACACCTCAGTTTCTGAGTCACTTCCAAGTTTTATAAGCCAGACTTTCCAGACCTGAAACTTGTTTGACTATCCGCTGATCTGGCTATCCTCCCAGGTTCCAGGCAGAAAACTGGAATAGCATGGTTAGTTCTTTCCAGTTAATAGATGAGGCTAATTTGTTTAAAATGAAATAGCCCCCAGCTTGTTCAGATCTATCCTGGGGCCATGGCCAGGTAAAACGAGATGCAGAATCAGAAAGCCATTACGAGTCTGTTTTCCCCTGCTGCACAGGCAATATACGTTAAAAAACATATATTAGAAAACAGCGAGCCCTGAGACGCCAGTCCTATCTGCCCATGTTCTGAACGCAGGTCAAAGATGCTTGTGCACTGACCGAGTCATCTATGAGATCAGAAGTAGCTCTCACTCACCCAGGAATCTCTAAAAAACACAGACAAATCCCTTCAGAAAGTATTCAAGATGTTAGAAAAAGGGGCAGTTAAAATGATCATAAAGGCTGTTTATTTGACAGTAATTCAGCAACAAGAAATGACAGTGATATCTGAGATAATTAAACTCATTTGAACAAACTGCCACTCATACTGCACTTCGTTGCTGGAATCTGACTCCACAGGAACTGTGAATTGAACTGTGAATGCTGACCTGTTTATTCTACTTCAGGAGGAATAAATATATTTAGAATATACTAGAAGGAAATAGGGCCACTTACTGGTAAAACAAACAAAGTGTGTGCGAGAAGCAGAACTAATGAAGAACTAATTATTGTGTCTTTTTGCTCAACAAAATCATCAGTCTTCACAAAATGTGTAAGAATTGTGAATCTCTGAGACCTCCTTCCTTCTTAGATCGAGTTGAAAGGAGCGGGACCAAAATTATTGAAAAAAGGGAGCGACAGAGAGATTGTCAATTAGACAAGGCAATCACAAATGCCTTCCCTTTTTTTTCTTTTTAGAGAGACTCTGTAGAAATTGGTAAATGTGTATTGGGTTTGTGTGGCAAGATTTTGGTAGTGGCGGGGGCTGCAGAAGTGGCTTCTGTGAGAAGATGCCAGAAGCTTCCCCTATGTCTGATAGAGCTGCTGGCCAAAGCTGAGCCAATCAGCTACAGTGATAGTGCCTTTGTGATAATGTATTTAAGAAGTGGGAACTGGGACTGGAAGCAGCTGGGAGAGAGGAGTGAGAATACGTGAGAGAAACAACTCTGCAGACACCAAGGTCAGTGAAGAAGGAGGGGGAGGAGGTGCTCCAGGCACCAGAGCAGAGATTCCCCTGCAGCTCCTAGAGGAGACCATGGTGAGGCAGGTTGTCCCCCTGCAGCCCATGGAGGTCCACGGTGGAGCAGATATCCACCTGCAGCCCGTGGAGGACCCCACGCCGGAGCAGGTGAATGCACCTGAAGGAGGCTGTGACCTCGTGGGAAGCCTGTGCTGGAGCAGGCTCCTGGCAGGACCTGTGACCCCATGGAGAGAGGACCCCACACTGGAGCAGGTTTGCTGGCAGGAGTTGTGACCCCGTGGGGGACCCACGCTGGAGCAGTCTGTTGCTGAAGGACTGCACCCCGTGGGAAGGACCCATGCTGGAGCAGTTCGTGACAAACTGCAGCCCGTGGGAAGGACTCACATTGGAGAAGTTCGTGGAGAACTGTCTCCCATGGGAGGGACCCCACGCTGGAGCAGGGGAAGAGTGTGAGGAGTCCTCCCCCTGAGGAGGAAGGAGCGGCAGAGATGTGTGATGAACTGACCACAACCCCTGTTCTCCATCCCCCTGCACCGCTCAGGGGGAGGAGGTAGAGAAAATCGGGAGTGAAGTTGAGCCTGGAAAGAAGGGAGGGGTGGGGGGAAGGTGTTTTAAGATTTGGTTTTATTTCTCATTACCTTACTCTGACTTTTGAATGGCAATGAATTAAATTAATTTCCCCAAGTCAAGTCTGCTTTGCCCGTGACAGTAATTACTGAGGGATCTCCCTGACCTTATCTCAACCCATGAGCCTTTTGTCGTATTTTTCTCCCCCTGTCCAGCTGAGGAGGGGCAGTGATAGTGCGGCTTGGTGGGCACCTGGCATCCAGCCAAGGTCAACCCACCACAAAAACAAAAAACCTGTATCATAAATACATACAATCTCCATTATTCGGCAATACGGTTTAGGGCTCCAAGAGCCACACACTGAGCTATTTTATGTATCTGTAGAGCAGAAACAGAGTGATTTTATCAGTGTAATCCTTCAGTTTAGCTAAATAGCCTGACTAGGAGGGAAGTCCTGTACTGCTGTAATGTGACAATACTGATTTGGGGACCAAGGCTAGTACCGGCATGCAGCGCTGAGCTGAACATTTTGGTCTTACAAGCTCACAGCAGTTAGTCCAAAGTTTTCAGCACCAGGCTCTATATAACAAATTACAAATGTGCCCTTTGTTTCCTGCAGTCTGCTCCAATGGAAATGCTTTCTGCATCTGGTATCTTTTTTAGTCACAATGTGTGAAAACATCATTGTTCATGAAAAATTTAGTAACTAAAAGCATCCATATCCACTCACAGATTTCATGTATTAGACAAATATAAAAATTGCTGGGTAGAAAGAAAAATCATTGAAACGCACTGAGAAACATGATGAAGATGTATGTTTCTGAGCTGGGCAGATCATCTCTGATCAAAACAGAATATAACTATGGGGAAACTGTGTATATGTAAGGATAATAGGAAATTCAGATAAGGGATAGCTCTGAAAATCTCTCATATAAATCAGGGGTTCTTTAACAGCTTCTTTAAAATCATGATATTTACCACGTTGAACCAGAGCAGTAGACTTTCCAGGCTGATATCAAGATGTCAACAGCTGTTGGCATCAATGAATCAATATTAAATTTCCACTATTTCCACAACTAAGATGCAATTTCCTAAAGTTACTAATGGTGGGGTTCGTCTTGCCACACTTCACTGATATAAAATCAATGTCTAGTCTAAGCTTCCAGTATGGTTAGGAGTGAGATAAGTACCTCCAGAGGATGATCATTCCCCTCCCTTTACACAGGTATTTAAAATAGAATTCCATATATCACATTGACTTTATACAGGTCTCCTGCTATCTAGTTACTTAAACAATTTCAAGAATCTTTTTCTTAGGCAGTAAAGATAAAATTATTGAGGAGCATATTAATGAATTTATTTTATTTTGCCTGAAGGCTGAAAAGTACTGCCTAATCATTTTGTGGTAGAATTATATGTATTTTTATTATACATGTATTTTTTACATTTTATATGCAATTTACCCAACTTACTTCCTTAGAATCCAAGTGCTTAGTAAGATAAATTAAGTTTGCATTGTGATCATCTGGAGTGTCGGATCACTCCCTGGTTTTCAGCTTTTTAGGTCCTCAGCATTCTGAGCTGCTTGATGCTTTTATTTTCTTGACTTCAATTACAGTTGGAAACCATTACCAAACAGATATGTCTATATACTTTAAAAGCAATCAGACTGTGGTTCAGTGTAAACTTCCATGGTTACTCGTTGCCTTATCAATCCACTTCGCCTGAAAATACTATCCCTAGTCCTCATGAATGTCACTGCAGCTTGCTGCGTTATACTAGGAGAGCTCATTTGTCTCCATAAGTTACAGATGAAAGGATACTACCCAATTTAGCTGGGTCCTGATCCAGTGATGGCCTTGAGGATCAATAGCAAAGCTTCAGAATTGCGTTAAATGGGAATTGGGATAGAACGTATCTTGCAGAGTATAGAAGATACATACTCTGGGGAATTCGTGCTACTCAGTAGGTTAATGATGCATAGTGTCAACATATGCTTTCTTTTATGAATTTTACACTGATTTTTTTTCAAATTGCTTTTTTAACATTTCTTCCCACACTAGGAAAAAAGGAGAAACATGGACATTCAACTGACCTTCACTATTCCATTCATTATTTTATATATCTCTATCCTAATATTTCTTGCTCAGCTTAATCCAGTGTTTATATATTTTTTTCTTCCGTTGGGGGTTTCTCCACGCTATTTGTTTTCCCTTTTCTAGTCACCCACTATTTTTAAATGCTGCAGTCTACCTGTAAATCTATCTGTAGATACTTTTCTTAATGCAGTTTAATATCCGGTCTGTATTGATATTTTGCATAAAGCAGACGTTACATTGATTTCTTCTCGCTGACATCCATTTCTCTTTCTGACTGATCATATCAACATTGAGGTTCCACATGCCTTCAGCTCCTCCTTTCAACATGCAGTACTTTCACCTTATCTACACTTCATTTCACCTGCCATCATGTGGCCTAATTTGTCAGCTACAGATATAGCACCTTTATTCATTATGGTACTATAGATATGATTGTATTTTATGCTACATATGATGGGCATTTTGCACTTTCTGATTTTTCCTAGTCATAGTGACAAACATTTAATGGGGAAAAGAAAGCATGCTTGCAGGTAAGACACTCATTGAGACTCAAGAGTTGACATTTTTTAATTTGGCAATAAACTTTCTTTCAGCAATTTCATTAAGCACCTATATGGTATACAACAAAATTACATCCATCAGTGCTGTAAGACGAGAACAGCAACAAGCAATGCATAATAAAAGCAATTATCCAGTGGGAATAGAGGTCACCAGTATTACGTCTTGAAGGCTATTCACGCAGAGCTAATAGTTTGGGGAACTATTGAGAGCTGAATCTCATTTCTGCAGTACTGACTACTTTCTATTAACTGAAGAGGGATCCACGTTCCTGAAATTACAGGAAGTGTTGCAAAATATCCTAGATTAATTCATAGCTGGCACAAGTTCATGTGTCTGTATGCGAAGAGATCCTCTCAATGGTGAGCTTCCACCACTGCAACATCTATCGCCCGCTCTAACAACTGTTACCTTTCTATCCTGCTAAAGGTTCTCTGAAGAGTGGGTGGAAATGAAAGCTAAGCCGCCCAAGCTAAGTACCATATAAGGCAGAATAGTAGAAAACATCAGAAATGCTTTGCCTGATCATGAAAAAAGCACATATATTCTGCTTTAGCGTTGGCTGTGTGCTGAAATGCCTGCACCCCAGCAGCAAACAGTGCAGCCATTTTGTGGCAGTGCAGCAGGTGGTGCTCAAACAACCCCGGTTTCCCAGAGCGCCCAGAGAGAGGGACTCTGCTTTCCAGAAGCAGCCCGCAGTGGTTAACTTTTCCATAGCCCAGCACTGCCCCAGCCAGTAAATCATGCTCAAAATATTAATTGAGCAAGCCATGACAAAAGCATATTTTTACTTAATATATTTTGCAATATGTATATGCCTAAAACTGTAGACGCGTTTACAGTGAAAATTAAAACCCATTAAATTGACGGTGTCTCCTACAGAATTCTTTCTTCCACCCTAACAGAGAACCATCTGCCTGTGTGCAGGCAGCTTTCATATTTTCAGGGAGAAGGTGTGATTTTGTTGGCTTTACCTGGGCACTGTGTGGCCCCTACTGCAGGTCAGCAAGTTCAATCTACATTTTGGAAATGCAAGAGGTTCCAAAAACTTTACAGCTGCTTTACTATAACTGGATACACCTATATCTCTGAGATCTAACTGCTTAGATATTTGGTGAAAGAAAATATATAACAAAATTATTTGCAAGAGCACTATAAATTCCTAGGAAATATTGAAACAACCAAAATAAGTTCTTCCTGGACTTCATAAATAGCTTAGGGTGGATGTGTGCAATCTGACTTATAGGTGAGAGGCATTTCCAATTAGAGAAGAAATCCCATTTAAGACCTACTAATGTAATTTAGCAGGCTAATTAATAAATACTTTGATCATACCTTGATCAATCTGCTACAGAGAGCAAAAACCAGCATCTTTCAGCAATCTGCTGAGTGCCGCCTCTTAGGACTGATGGAGGGTTATGATCTGTGTACCATTGATTTCTGCAAAATAAAAGACAAATCCTGAAACAAGGTTCACTAACAATCGAGAGTGGGGAAGAGCACTCTTTCAGCAATCTGCTGAAAGTGGATCCACGTCTGCTCTCCTGAGTCCTCCTTGGCACAACAGTGCAGCAGGGGACAGACCTGCTATGGGAGGGGAGGAGAGGCAGTGAAGGGGAAGGAGGAGGAGGAAAGGCGAAGACAAAGGTCTCCGTTCCTGCTGGACACATAGCCAGGCACTTGTCCATATTCACTGAGAGCTACTGTGGCGTGATCTTCTAATATTTGTATCTTTTTAAATAAAACATTAAGTTTAACAGTGTTTGTTTGTTATATCTCCATGTGTTCTCAGCAATGATCTGTGTAAGAGCCAAAGCAGCTGCCATATACACTTTCTGCAGAGTTTTCTTGATAAACATTTCAGGGTCCCAAACTTTCAAAATAAGCAGAGTATTTGAGAAGACTGTTTTTACACTCTTCCCCACTCTCGATTGTTAATGAACCTTGTTTCAGGATTTGTCTTTTATTTTGCAGAAATCAGTGGTACACAGATCATAACCCTCCATCAGTCCTAAGAGGAGGCACTTAGCTGAGCCTATCAGCCACAAGAATGGTAATGCACTAGGGATTTGTATGCATGACTTATTTCTCATTTGTCTTCCCTTGCAGGCCTCCCAGCACCGAGAACAGCTGAGCACTGAGCTGCAGAGATCAAGAAAGCTACTATATTTATGACAGTGCTCTTCTTTTCTCTGTTGCCAAGAGTGGTCAGATGTAGCATAGCAATTTATACTGCTGAATTCCATTATCACAATATTTTTATATTTTCAGCCACATTCTGAAAATAAATTCATCTGCCCAATGCCATTATCTGTTGAGGAAGTATAACAACATTTTAATACTGGTTTTAAATTCACTATATTTGAAATAGCTGTTTATATTTCACAGTGGCATAATTTAACTCAAATTCAGCTTTCAGCAACCACTGGAACATTTACCTGCAAGTTCTTACCCATAGGGCTAGAAGCAAGCTTACAAAGCTTTTCAAGTTTCTAGCCAAGGACACGATAAGCTTTTCTTTATGGTAACATCACGAAGCCGGCATCCCTCCGTCATCCTATATAGCTTCAGGGGCCCAACTATCCACAGTTATTTAACACATCTCTTGTTACGTCTTGCCACAGATTGTGAAGCATTTCCTGGTAGTCAGCAAAGTTGGTTTTTC